TCCAATTACTAAATTATTTGGTTCAGCTCCTGTTAAAATTTTAATGATTTCTCCTAAAGTAGGAGTTCCTCAATTAAATAAAGAAAAGAAATATATCAGAACAGTTAATTTTATTATTCAACATCCTTATATATTTCATTCTCATTTACCTTCAACATTATTATTAACATTATTTGATACAAATAAAACACAACTTATTATTCCACCTTTTGGAACGTTAAGTTATGCTCATAATAATGAAAGACTCAGTGGATTTATTAAAATACTTAATGATTGTATTGATGGATTTACAATGGAACCAACAATATTATTACTAAATTCAGAAGAATTTTATTTATTTCCATCTAATCTTCGTTCAAGAAGAATTGTATTTAATTCACCAACACAAGTAAATTATATTTTAATGAGATTTGAAGAAAATGAAAATTATCCAACTAATGTTCATTTTGAAATTAATCAATTTGTACAAAATCAAACATTAATTCCATTAATTTATAATAATATTTCATTACCAACAAATGGAAGTTTAGTACCAATGACACAGTTTTGTGAAGATAATATAAAAATAAATAATAAAAATATTAATGGAATATTAATGTTAAAAAGTGATCAAAATAATAGTAATAATAATAAATTAAAAGAAGTTCTTCTTCCAAATGAAGAAAATGGAATTGTTCTTCTTGGAAATCCTCCTATTGAAATTGTTTATTCAAAAAGTATTGAAGAAAAAAGTAACAAAGAAATAATTATTTTAAAACAACGATATGTTATTCATAATAGAACTGAACATAAAATTAAATTTTATTGTTCTCAATTCCCTCATGGAACAAATGTTATGGCTAAAGGATATGCTCCTTGTAATGTTAGTGGAGAATTTGAAATGTCATTAGAAATTGAAATAAATAAAGAATTATTTGAAAGTGAACAATTTAAAATTAATAAAGAAGTAAATTGTCAAATGATTTTAAGTTCAAAAAATGAAAGATATATTATTATTTCAATTAATATTACTTTAAATCAAATGGAATATATAATTTGTATTGATGAAATAGAAAAGTATTATTTATGTATTCAAAATTATACAAATATTCCAATTACTTTTGCTCAAACAAATACAATTCATACATACACAATTCAACCTAATCAATCACTTCCTTTTGCATGGACAGTACCAACATTAAAACATACATTACAATTATATGATAAAAATAATACAATTATTAATCCAATTATTTCTTCTCAACATCATCAATTAGAATTTAATAATAATGAAAAAAAGAAAATTGAAATTGTTTATTCTTCTTTTTCATTAGAAAAATCAACAACATTTATTAATTTTACTTTAACTTCTGTTTATGAAAATTCTTTAAATACAATTCCTTTATATGATTTTAATATTATGTTCTCTAATTTTGGAATATCAATTCTTATTAATGATAATGAATTTCTTTATATCTCTTTATTTAATATGCAATTAAAATTAGTTCAAACTTTCTCACATTCAGGTATTGAATTTTCTATTGATTATATTCAAATTGATAATCAAGACGTTACTTTAATTAATAGTAAACCGGTAATTTTATCTCCTTCTCCTTCAGATTGGATTCAATTTAATAAACAAAATTATTTCCATGTTGGTTGTAAATTATTAAGAACAGGTATTAATGAATTAACAAGTCATTCATTACATATTGTTGAAATGACAGTTGCAATTCAAACAACAGAAATTCAAATTGACCCTGCTTTTCTTGCTAGAGCAATAGAAATCTATTCTATTTATCATTCAATTGTTAAAAATATTTTTAAATCTTCCATTACTAAACAAAACGTTGAAACAAATAAATTTTATATTAAAATTGAAAAATTCATTTGTAATTCTATTGCTTTCCATCTCACTATTAATCCTTCTCAAAAAGAACCTCCTCCTCTTTCTGAATCAGCAACAACTTTACATCATTTAACACAAATGAATGCTGTAAAAAATGTACCAATTGTTATTCATAAATTTAGTTCAAAACCTATTGAAATGGAATTAATACAATTTATTAAAATAATTATTAAATACTTTTCAAAAGAAATTGATTTCCCTTCAATAAAAAAACAATGGGCAAGTGGAATTATTGGTTTAAATAATATTCGTTTATCATATGAAACTGTTGATTATAAAACTTTTGAACGATATGTAATTCCAATGAAATTATTTAAAGATGTAGAAAAAAAAATACCAGAAGAATTTAAAAGAGCACTTAATGATTCATTTGTTAAAAGTGTTAATCAAGGGGTAGATTTATTAACTACTGGAATTGCTTCTGGTGTTAAAGGTATCTGGACAACTCCATCTACAATGTATCAAATGGCAAAAGAAAAATCAAGTTTATTAGGTCCAATTGGTTTTGTAAGTGGAATAGTTGCTGGTGTTACAGGAGTTGTAGTAAAACCAATTGATGGTGTTTTTGGATTAGTTCAAAATTTAGGAATGGGAATATCAGGAGAGACATGTGGTAATATTGCAGAAGATAGAATTAGATTTCCATGGTATGTTGCTGGTGGTTCATATAATGAAAAAAGTGCTACTGGATGGTCTATGATGATGGAGTGTAATGAAGGGAAGTACCAACATTTAAAATACTTTGATTGTGTTAGAAAAGTAAGTGAAAGAAAGATTGAAGTAATTGTTATTACAGAAACTCATCTCTTATTTATTACAAAAAATTCAGGAGAAATACCTTATTTACAAAAAATTATTCCTTTTGAATATTTTAAAGGAATATTTACACAAAGTCTTTCTTTAATACTTTTTTATTATGAAAATAATAAATTATCTGATTTAGAAATTATTGGATGGACACCTATTGAATCAAATGCATTAAGAGTTATTATTGAAAATAATCCAATTAAAATATCAATTAATAAAGGAACGTTATTTTTAAGATCTATACCTAAATCATAAAATGAATTATTCATTTCTCATTTCATTTATTAATTTTAAATAATGTTAAAATATAAAAACCATAATTTTTAATTAATTTTTAAAAATAAATTTATGTTTTATTTAAAAAAGAAATAAATATGAAGTACACGGATCAAAGGTTAATATTAAATTAATGATATTTTACTTCAACAGTTGTACTAAATTAATATATTGGTTGTATTAATCTCTACAAAATTAATAGATTTAATGTAGAAATATAAAAAAAAACAACTATAAAATATTAATATTTTAATTATTTTATTGATTATATGGTTTTATTAAATCCATTTGAATTAAAATTGGTTGAGAGGTATAACCTCTTTCAGTACTGTATTGAATTAAAACCGTTTTTTCTTTTTGGTTTACTTTAACAACTTTTGCTAAGTCTCCTTTTTTACAATTTTCATCAATATCAATAAGTACAATAATACATTGGTTAATATAAAACTGTTCTTCACTTCCCATAATGTAATTTTATTTCTTTTTTTTTTATAAACTAAAAAAACTTTAATTTGAAATAAAACAGTCAATAGAATTTTACTTCTTATCATTTATTCAATCTCTTTATTTTAAGTTGTTAAAAATAGATCTTTCTTTTCATTTTGATTATTATTTCATTTTTCCCATTACTTGTTTAAATAATTCAAGATTAGCTAAATATTCGGGATCAGTATCATCTTCATTTGAACTATAATCTTCACTACTTTCATCATCTAATTCTCTTTTTATTTGTGGATCATCATCTAAGACTGAACCATGTTTTGTCTGATCATAAACACAATCAATACTAAGTTCTTTGTATTCTGTACTTTCTGAACTAATCTCAAATGGTTTTTCATCTAATGTATTTATAAAAATCCAAGAATATATTAAATACTCACGTTTTACAGCAATAATATTTTCCATTGGTTTAGCATCAATAATAAAATCTGTTTTATTCGGTCCATCTAAATAAACAAACTTTTGAATATTAGCACCCATCATGACTGAATTTCTTAATATCTCTTTCCATATCATTTGAGTTAATAAACCATTTTCCATTTTACTAAAGTTAGGTCTATTAAAGTAAAGGTTTTTATTTTCTAATATCTTTTTTCTAAATAAGTGTAAAATTTCTTTAACATCTTCTATATGTTCATCATAAAATTTAGTGTATATATTTTGTAATACTTCTGTTACTCTTACTAATTCAGTATCAACTTGATTGGTCGAAGGAACATATTCACAAATTTGAACAACATTTTTATTATCCCAAACATCAATTCTGTCATCAACAATTACTTGCATCTCTTCTTTTCCCATAGTTGGAATACTTCTTTTCACACTTCTTCTTTCATTTGTTTCTTCTCGATCAATTAATCCATCATTTGTATCTTTTTCATCACAAACAATCACAGAAGAACAATCTTCGGCAGTAACTAAATCACCAGTAATAAATGGAATATTCCTAAGTTTATTAATGGCATTTACAATAGCAAAGGCATATTCTTTTTGACCTAATGTAACTACATGAATATCATACAACTTTGATACCTTTTCCATAAATGTAACTATCCCATCTCTAAATCGAATAAATACTTTTGCATTTTGTTCAGGTATTTCAAAATAAAATCCTTGTTCAGGTGTTATTGGTTCTTCTTCACTTTCTAATGGTATACATAATTCAGGATTTGTAAAAACAATTGTGCCATCAAGATCTAAAATCAATGAAAGTTTCTTTTCTTTTAAAAGTTTTTCTGAAACACTCCTTTTTTGTTCTTCTGCATAACTTTTTGTTATACCATATCCACCTGAAGTTCTAATATAATCATCAACATCTTCAATCAACTGATAACAATCAACACAATAGTTTTGGTCATTAATTTTGTTATGTGGACAAATATCTTTCTGTGACATTTTTTGACTTTTTCTTATTTTTAAGTTCTTTTAGTATTTTTATGTTTTTCTCTTTCAATTTTTTCTTGTTTTTAAAGAAAAAAAAAAATAAAATAAAAATCAAAAACATCTTAAAAAAAAGAAAATAAAAAAAATGGAAGATTTGAAAGTTCTTTCTGTTTCTCGTAGTGAAAATGGAAATTTGTTAGCAGTTGGAACCACTTATGGATTTATAGTGTTTTCAATTAAAAATGGAGAATTTACTAAACGATTTCATAGAAGTTTGTTATTGATTAAAATGTATAACCAATAAACTCATTGCAAAAGCGTTTAGAAAAGGTATAAGTGTAATTAGTGTTCTTGAAGAAACAAACATTGTTGCATTTGTTGGTGGAGGACAAACTCCTTATGCACCAAAAAATACATTAATAGTTTGGGATGATAAAGAAGGAAAAGAAGTAATGAGGAAAGAATGTGAAAACGATATTACTGGTATTAAAATTACAAGAAATTATCTGTTTATCGTTTTTGAAAATATGGTTTCTATAATGGACTTATCAAGTAAAACAATTACTAATATTGATACTGACTTTAATCCTAAAGGTATTTTATCATTTCATTCAGCTACTAATCAATTATTTATTCCTTCAAAAACTGTTGGAGAAGTAAAAGTCTATCAGTTAGGTGCTCAACCAGTTATTAATTCATTAAAATGTCACAAACATCAAATAACAAATTTAATTATAAATAATTCAGCAACAGTAATGGCATCATCAAGTGCAGAGGGTATAATCATTAGACTATGGGAAGTAAAAAGTGGAATGAAAATGAAAGAATTTCAAAGAGGAAGTAATCCTGCAGAAATTATCAATTTGTCAATAAATAATGAACAACAATATTTAATGAGTTATTGTAGTGATTATGAAATAAGTATTTTTGAAATGAATGGGAAAGTTAAAGGGAAATCGAAGTGGTATACTGGAGGAGAACAAGCGTTAGCAAGTATTAAAGTAGAGAGTACAAGTATAAATGCATTTTTTATAAGAAAAGATGAGATAGTAGTAATTGATGGAAGAGGAATATATCAAAGATATTTTATCAAAGAAGTAGATATGTCTAAAATAAAAATTGAAGGAGAAGGAAAGATAGAAACACTATTTGGAGTGAAAGTTGAAGAAATAAGTTAAAAGGTATTATTAAAATTTGTTGAAAGTTAAAGAAAAAAAAAAGAACTGGAAAAAGGATATGATAAAAGGGATAATAGTAATAATGATAATAATAAGTA